CCTGCTGGCCACACTCCTTTTGATGCAGCCCAGGATTCGATTTGCTTTCTGGGCTGTGAGTACAAACTGCAGTTCATGGTGAGCTTCTCATCCACTGTCACTCCCAAGTCTTTCTCCTGAGTGCTGGTCACAGTTACTTCCCCACCCAACCTGTAGTTGTGCCTGGGATTGCCACAGCCCAGATGTAGGACCTTGCACTTCATTTTGTTGAACTCCATGAGGTTTGCATTGTTCCACCTCTCAAGCCTGTCCAGGTCCCTCTGGATGGCTCATCCCTTCCCTCCAGTGTGTCAAGTGCCCCACACAGCTTGGTGTCATCACTTGCTGAGGGTGCCCTCAATCCCACTGTCCTTGTCACCGATAAAGGTGTTGAACAGTATTGGCTCCAGCACTGACCCCTGAGGGAACAATATTGTATTGTTTGTGGTTTTATTTTGTTTATTTTAGTTCTTTAAATACTTAGGTAGTACAAACTCTGTTGCACTAATTCTTGCACAACTGCTCTTGCTGATGTCACATACATTTATAACATAGCTTATGTATATACATATATACTGAGAGACATTTCTCCTTCAAGATATTTTTGAAGTGTGTTATTTTTTACAGTAAATTATTTGCAATTTAGAACTCTGAAGCAGAAATATTTGTCAAGTTGAGACTTTGTCCATATTTCTTTTTTTATAAGGTGACATCAATTTTGGGCCAAAGTTGGTCCGTTTCTCTTTTGTATTCATTATTTATTCAAGTAGATATTTCTATTCAAGAGGTCAGTTTTTGTTTTAGTTCTGGAACAGGCATGAAAATATTGATGTAGTTAATTCTGGTACTGAAATACTTCATTTTCTAATCTAAATTTAAGATGATAAAAGTGTTTGTTTTTCAGAGAGAAAACTGCCGTATCAGTGATGAAATATTTCCTACCTACATGCTTTACACTTCTTTGTCCTTTCTCTCTCCTGCAGGTTGTTTTTTTCACAAACTTCAACCCCTTGGTGTAGTTTGTTCACTTCTTGGTTTTCACGTACTCTCAGCAGGATCTTCTGCCTATCCTAATTATGTAGTGGGATGTGAATAGGCTATTTTAACACCAAGTGAAAACTTTTTGACAAGGCATTTCTCAAAGTGGTATGTAGATTTCCCTCCCCTCTAATCAGTTCAGTAACAAGTGCCACCTCTGTAATTAACCCTCCGGGAAGATAATATAAAAGGCTTGTGTTAAAATTGTATAGACTTGGGAAATTTACACGTTGCAATTGAGAAAATTCTCTTTGGAAAATGTAGAAATAGTAGTTATACTTGTTACTTCTTTTTTGCTGGTTTATGTCCTGACACTGGTAATGGAAGCACTGGTTATAATGAGCTGTGAGCAAGGGAGGTAACAGGAATTGGGCAGTGGTTTTACTTTGTAGAGTGAAACACCTTTACAGCCTTTGTAACTGTTTTCTACAGGCCTGTGGCTGCTTGTCTGCTGTGTGGTCTGTCCTGGCTCTATACAGGTGACATTATTGCTCTCTCCTGCTGCTACACTGTGTCTGAAGTCTGTCATGTTTCATACAGTGCAGATGCATAGCCTTAACCAGCTGATACTTGTGGATTAATTTCTGGTCCTGTACAGTGGTCATTCCCCCAGTTCAGAAACCCCTCAGAGGTCTGCATAGCCTCTAGATTAAATGGTTATGTGCCTGCTCTGTTACTTCTGTTTGCCCTTCACTGCAGTGTGGAACTGGGTAAGATTTGGTATTTCCACTGAGGAATTGGATTGCCTTATGTTATATTTACTTAAGGCAAAGCTGAGCAGAGTATTTGCCCTCTCTTCTGCCACCTTAAGAAACTCTTCCTTTAGTCACTTACTGCAGAACTCTTCTCAGGTCTTGTTTTCCTGGGAAATGTAATTTGAAACAATGTTTGGTTTTCATATTTCACTTCCATAAAACGCATGAAAAGATTTTATTGCATAGTTCCTCTCCATTTTGTTCAGTCTTTGATGTAAACCAGAATGAAATCTGATTCTCAGTATTTAACAATGCAACTTTGACTGTTCCTTTCCCAGGGCAATTTTAGTAGTTCATTGGCTTTTTCTTCCATCACTTATAAACCATGATCCGCTTCCAGGATACGTGCTCTCTTGTTTTCGTGCTTGAGCAGATGTCTGCCTTAAAGGCTTAAGAAGTTGGTGACTAAGCTTGCCCATTCCCTCAGTAGGTTCTAGTAAGCTTTGGAAAGTAAAGCATGTCTGCTGGAGATAGTTTGTCAGTGCTGGGCTGAAAGAGCTTGACTTCAGTGATGTTAATCACTGATTGCTGCATGCAGACATGTCACTGCTGTATGCTTGGCAGTCACTGCCATTTCTCTTCGTCATCCTGGCTTTATGTCTTCCTGGTTCCCTTTTGCAGTCCTCTTCAAAACCAAACAGGAGTAGAGTCACGAATTTTTCTGACCTGCTAGAGATGGAAAATGAGTCCTGTGCCTGCTGCTGATGTGGAGGGTACCCATATTTATGATGGGGAGCTGGGACTCTTTTACCTCATCTGGAATGAGCAGAGGCCTCCCTCACTGACTTGTACAGGACCTTTCTCTCTCAACTTATAAGAGAAGATAGTTATCTTTCCTGAGAAGAGTGCTAACTGCAATAAAGTTGTCCACTGATTCATACTGAACCTAATCAAGATTCTGAAGTAGATTTTGATGGTCATCCTAGTCTTTGAGAAATGTTACCAAGTGTGAAGGAAATTTCCCAGTGCAATTACATGTGGGGGAATAAAAAAACCTGCTTGATTTGTGACAGGGACCTCAACTTCAGTGTTTCTTCTCTAAAGAATGCCTGTCCTTCAGTAAGTACACTTAAACTGCTGCTGGAAGCTCAAAGGAGAGTTTAGTCAAGGATGTCTTTGTTTTCCCGTTTTCTGTTTTCTGCTGGGCAGTGGACAAGGCAGTTTACTCAGCTGCAGGGAACTTTTGCTCTGATTAAGGATTATTGCAGTTGTGCACCAAGAATTATTGGCTCATTATGGTGATAAATGTGCTGACTAGCTAGTCAACTTTCTTCATGCTTTTGTGCATAGTTATCAGTGAGCTTTGCTGCAAACTGAGTGAGGTTTGTTTTGTTTGTTTGGATCTCTCTGCAGCCTTCCCTAGGGGTACTTGGAAATGCATTTGTTATACCAGCACTGGCAGTGATCTTCAAAGCAGCCTGGCTCTGGGTGAGGCATTAGGGTTGTTTGGAAAACTCTTTTGTCTCAGGAGGTTTGAGCTTCCTTACAGATTTGTAAGCAACTTCTGGGGTCTGTCTCATGGTGGGTTGCCATCTGGAAAAGATCTTCAGACAGACTAAAGAAGAACTCATACCTTCACCCAGCTGGTCCATAGTGTGTGCTGCTCTGTTACTGAATTCAGTGTCTACCAAAGCCTGCTGCCATCACTGTCTCTTGTGCAG